AAAAAAAAAAAAAAAAAAAAGTTATTTATATCGATAAAATTTCAAAAAAAAAATTCTCTCAGATCAGATAACCATGTTTATGATAGTTGATACGAGACTATTCCCAAGATATAATTCAACAATCGAATTCAGGATGCTTTTATTTATGGCGAACAAGATGTCAAGTCATTTCGGTTAGAATCATTGCGTTTGACATATGATCAGCATAAAATCGGGTTCGTCAGAAGATCTGCATATTGTTTTTTCTTTAAAAAAAAAGATAAGCATCGGCTTAAAAAATGCAAACAATGGCTATATTATCTATTTATAAATCTCTTTTTAAAAAATATTAAATACGTTCGACAAAATCTAGTATTGAAGAATTAATAGAAATTACTTTAACATTAAAAATCTCGAAAGATGAGATTTACGAAAGATGAAGCATTATCTCGGGATGTTTTGTAAAGTTAATAAAGTCTTTGCAACTTTTGCTTTAATGGTCAGATTTGATTGTTGGACTGTTTTGTTTGTATAACGATATACTTCTGCTTATATGCATTCAATTATCTGCTGATCGTATCCCAACAAATTACAAACTCATTCTTATCAAGTACATATCTTTTTTTGTGCTCGGTATATGGAAGGCCATTATCCTGATCGTTCTTTCACCTTTCCTATCAGTTGTTAGAATGTGGATTTTCCTATAGGACATGACAAGATCGTATGTTTCAAATCACTGAAATATTTGTTGTTTAGCCTGAGGTTCCTCCCAATGTTCAAATGCAATCTGGTAAAGTGGTGGCTTTTTCTTTAATATTTTTGAAATTCGCTCGGGGGGGGGGCATTTTTTTTCTTTCTTTTACCGCATTGATATCTATAAACAGCTATTTTTATTTTTTTCATAATCATAAAAATGCCCGAAAGTGCATTTAATTGCCGCCAGAATGAGCTTATGAAATTGGATATTCAGACATTCGAATATGAAATGATATTCAAATATTATAATATGACCATGGCGAATATTGTTCATACATGTATAAGCATTAATAAAATATTTGAGAGATTC